TCACAAACTCAGTTCCCTGCCTTGCGGGGGCCTTGGGCACTGGTACATCTCAGTCCCTCCTCTTCTCTGCCTGTGGCATATAACAGTCTAGTCTCCTGTGGGCTGTACTATTTTAGTCTAATTTCAGTTTTTGGGTTTAGTCATGGGTGTTGGTGGCCTGTGTTATACAGGAGTCAGACTAGATGACTTGGTGATCCCTTCTGGCCTTAAACTCTATGACTCTAAGTGGTGAACTGCTCCACGTATCTCAACAGATTGTTAACTGTAGGACTGGGCGGTTTGTGAGGAGACCTGCCATCATGACCTCAGAAAACTCTGTCTGACAGAAGCAGAAGAATACAGTGAGCCCAGCTCACCTACCCATGCAGATACACCCTTGCTGTGATAATTTCTGGTCAGGGCCCCAAGGCTTCTACCTATACTTCTCCAGGTGGGAGAGGGGAGCAGAGAGAAGGCCTGCATGCTATTGCCCCTATCTGTATGGGAGGGGGGCCCCTAACAAAGCCATCCCAGATGGAGAGTGGGAGCATGACACAGTCAGAATATGCCTAGGGCAATTTAAAGCCCTAAGATAGTCCTGGTTTATAGGGGGTTACTTTGATTGATTAAAATGTACTTTGCACCTCTGTATAAAGTAATATCTCCAGAAACTTTTCTTAATACATTTACATATTTTCTATTAATTATCCTACCGCACTACTGAGCCATAAAGGAGAGAAAAACGGATGTTCAGAATGTATGAAGTTCAGACATGATTTAGACAAAACTGCAAAAGTAAAATCAGAACATGAACCAGAGATGAATATGGCAGATAATGACATTTTCATAAGTGGGCACTCAATTCCAGTGTCTAAGCATACAAAAAGGGGGGCATGGATCAACCTTCACATCGCACTCCCCGGCAGTACCCAGCCTGGGAAAGCTAATGATCCAACCAGCAAAACAAATTCGGTGATGAATCCTGGTCACATGCCACCTGAGGCACATTGCGCATACGCTAAGAAGCAGCATAAAAAACTGTCCAGTTATATTCACTGCCAAGACGTCTCTTAATTATTGTATTAGTTGTTAAAACGTCCACTTCTTAGAGCAAATTTAAAATGAAGTTCTACTATGAAAAGTAAGTTTGCAAAAAATAGCACCTTCTTAACATCGTCACTAAGAGGTTACCTGCTGGGTTTAATGATAAAAATAAATGTAACTGATTTTTACTCTGCTAGTACTACAGAGACAACACAGCAGACAGAGAAAGTGAGTGTACGACTAGATTTAACCCCATTTCATGCATTACCAAAAGAATTAATAGTTCTAATTGCAGGGCCAAGTTGTGCCCTCACTTACATCTGAGTAACTTTGTGAGTTAACAATTACTAGTTATTGTTTCCCCAAATGTATCAGTGTGGACTTGCTGGGTCAAGCAAGGGGCAGCTGCAGAAGGTTTCCTAATCTAGTTTAGCAGCCAAAAGGGAGCAGGCCTCTTAGCCCACCCTCATTTCTTATTAAATGCTACGTGTGCATGTATCATACATAATTTTGTTTGTTTGTTTGTTCTGAGCCTGACACTTTACCAGAGCCTCCTCATTTACAAGTTTGGCATACATCCCTCTTACATATACATATAGGAATGGTACGAGCTGGGGTGACTGACAAAGGATTTCAATACTAGGCTTCTTTCCTAGGGTCAGTGGTAGATGAAGATACGCCATGCAAACATTTGGCCAACAATTGGGTTTCTCTTGGGAAGTTTACTGGTTTGTGTATACCCTTGGTTAGTTTTGTAATGGTTATACTAATTTTATGACCCTGAAAAATAGTCCATGATTTTATTTACCAAAGTCAAGTTTTCCTAGAAGCATTTTCCATGGATTGTCCAGGATACTAAAAAAACCCAACAGTATAATTGATCCCGGGTTAAATTTTCAGGCCCAGCATTTATAAAAAAAATTCTAGCCTGGAAAGTAAATACATCTGATCTGAAGCTCATTGAGGTACAATCATTGACCGACATTTCAGAGTACAACTGCATTCTAAATACTTTACGCTGTAATTTCCCCTGAAGATGTGATCCACTGTCTTTGTCCTTCCAGATATTGTCTCTTAACGTGATTTACATGCAAGTTTGAGTATTCGGGAAAATAGCTGTGACTCAAATATTGCCATACATTGCTCTAAGTGAGAAGTATGGAATCTTTCAAACCAGAGAGCTGTTCCTGCAATCCTTACTCAAGTGAGCGGTCCTAAGGAAGCCAGTTACCCTTATCACATGAATAAGGGGGCTACAGGATTGGACCTGAGATTACATGGAAAAGCCCTATATGCTGCATTAATACAAACCCATCTACTATACAAATCCTCACATTATTTTGCTGTTATAATATTAAGTATTGTTTTAGTCTTTAGGTGATGTTTAACTATTAATTTTAAAGATACTCATACTGAGAGGGGAGAGAAAACAGTATCTTGTGAATGAAGTTCAAGGATAAAGGCACAGTGAGGTCACTATTAAAACAACCTCCTAATATATTACCAAGTGCAAATAGTATTAGAAAATACTAGTTAGAAGATTCTTGCTATTTTGGGGGAATTTTTTTTTAATGCTCTTTAGAAGAGCCAAGTAAGGTCTAGACCTTACTTAAGAACGGTTCTGGTCAGAAGGGTGATTGGCACCAACATATTAGCCAACACTTGCAAACTGATATGACTCAAGCACATTTTACTGAAAAGTCACTTATTATAGAACTGCAGAGTCAATATAGCCATGAAGAGCTAGCTGGGTTATATACTGCCTCACATATAACCAAATTACCAGTTTAATCTTTGGCCTCAAAAGAGCAGCCATACTGGTCAGACCAATGGTCCATCTAGCTCAATATCCTGTCTTCTGACAGTGGCCAATGCCAGGTGCTTCAGAAGGAATGAACAGAACAGGCAATCATGAAGTGATCTATCCCCTGTCGTCCACTCCCAGCTTCTGGCAAACAAAGGCTAGTGACACTCAGAGCATGGGATTATATCTGGCTAATGGCCATTGATGGACCTATCCTCCATGCAATTATCTAGTTCTTTTATTAACCCTGTTATAGTTTTGGCCTTCACAACATCCTCTGTCAATGAGTTACACAGGTTGACTGTGCATTGTGTGAAGAAGTATTTCCTTTTGTTTGTTTTAAACCTGTTGCCTATTAATTTTATTGGCTGACCTCTAGTTCTTGTGTTATGTACAGGAACAAATAACATTTTCTTATTCACTTTCTCCACGAGTCAAGATCTTATCATATTCCCTCTAAGTCATCTCTTTTCCAAGCTGAAAAGTCCCAGTCTTTTTAATCTCTCCTCATACAGAAGCTGTTCCAACCCCTAATAATTTTTATTGCCCTTCTCTGTAACTTTTCCAATTCTCATATATCTTTTTTGAGATGAGGAGAACAGATATGCATGCAGTATTCAAGATGCGGGCATACCATGGGTGTATATAGAGACCTTATATTTTCTATATCTATCCCTTTCCTAAGGGTTCCTAACATTTTGCCTCAAACCTGCAGCAGATATTATTTCTTTTCAGGTGGACCTTCCTGCCCACATGGAAGGCTGGGGCCTTTAGCTACCACTGTATAAGAGGCAAAAGGAGCAAAAGTGGCTTTTTTCCCCCTGCAGGGAAGCTTGAAGGGCTGTCAGAAAACTCATCTTCCAGAGCTGCCAAGTACCACTCATTTGGAGCCAGAGACTCCCTCTTGGAGGGAATGGGGGAGGTCATGTCATACTTTTTACATGAAGATTGTAAGGATCTGAAGGATTTTGATGGACATTTCAATAAATCTTAAGAAACTTTGTGTGTGATCTCCCTTATTCAGACTTTCTCAGATGAAGCCAGAGCCCTGCATCTTTCACAATATAAAGTTTAAATTATGTCATCTGATCTGACACTCAGTAAGAGACTTACTTCCCCCTCCCCCACCCACCCGTAATTTTTACAGTTACTTTCAAACTAGCCTCACTTTAATTTCCCTCCCCCCATCTAAATTTGCAATTGAAAGCTGCTGCTCTCCACACAACCAGGTAAGAGCCTAGGAAGGAGGACTGGTGAGGAATGGGCAGAGAGGGCATGGCGAGCTGGCAAGGGGTTGGGGTGGTAGGGGCAATTGGAGAGTTAGGGGCTAGGGCTCAGAGGCAGGAAGGTAACTGGGTGGGAGCCGGCAGGTGAGAGGAGGACGATACAGGGGGAAGGGAGTGGCGGATCCCAGCGCACGGAGTGTAACGAGGGTCCCTGGAAAAGTGAACAGGGTTGGATTCCTCCTCTCTCCGCGGAGGGGGGTGCAGCTCGGGGAGGTCCCCGGGCTGGGGGGGGGTGCAGGGGCTCTGGGCCGGGGGGTGTCCTGCGGTAGAGGAGTAACGGGCTAGGCCGGGGGGGGTCCCCGGAGGTGCAGGACCCCGGGCAGGGCGGTGGGTCCCAGGGAGCGCAGGGGGCTCACAGCGGATGGTGTGGAAGGAGGCCTTGGGCCGCCGCTCGAAGCTCTCCCCCAGCTGCAGCCCGTGCTCCTCCTTGTCCAGCAGCGGGTTCGCCGAGCCGTTCATGCCCCTGCCCGCGCCGGACCCGGACACAGCAGCACCCGGCAGCGGCGGATCTCCCGCCCCGCTCCCTTCCGGGGCAGCGTGTCACCGGGAAAGCCGTCCGGCTGGGGGCGCGCCCCGCGCGGGTAGGCCCCGGGGAGGGCGCAGGATGGGGGGATGTCGGGGGGGGTGGGGCAGGGAAGGGGTGTGGGTGGGGGGGGAGGGTCGACTGGGGGTTTCTGACACGGGGAGCAGACTGGGGATGTCTCAGGGGCAGGACGAGGGGGTGTCTGTGGGGGAGGGGAGGAGGTGTTAGAGAGCAGGACGGGGTGTCTGACATGGGGAATAGAGGGGTGTGTGGGAGGGAGGGCAGGATGGGACTGTCTGACACAGGTAGGGTGACCGGACAGCAAATGTGAAAAATTGGGACAGGGGATGGGGGGTAATAAGAGCCTATATAAGAAAAAGACCCCAAAATCGGGACTGTTCCTATAAAATCGGGACATCTGGTCACCCTAGACAGGGAGGTGCAGTCTGGGGGGCAGGCTGGGGGTCTCTGACTCAGCGCAGCCCTGTGCGTGCAGGATCAAGTTCCCAGTAAGCTGTGTGGCCCATGAGTTCTCTTTAAGACTGGTCACGTCTACACTGAGAAAAGGCATCATGTAAACGTGTTAACTAATGTGATGATAAACTTAACTTAGTACCTAGCCTAGCAGAGATGGAGACAAGTTGAGTTTAAAAACAAAATAACCTTAAGACCAGCTAACATGTCTTTAAATGTGATTGGCCATGTTCAGACTAAGTGCAAAATCATGTATAACACCGTTAGTTAATATTTTCCTTGTGTAAACATGGCCAATGAAAATGATCAATTTGGAGTGTTTTTGGTCTGTCTTGTTAAAAAATGTATCTGCTTCGCTTTATTGTCTGACAGAGCACATTGTAAAGCCTATTAGTTTACTCAGACTTTTTTTGAATCTGTAGGCTGAGTTGTGAGGTTTTTGTTCTTGCAGGGTTTGGGAGTCTTGTTAGTATAACTTTGTCATAGATTTTTTAAGACCAGACGGGATCAAATAGTCTGACATCCTGTATAACTGACCAAATAATTTTGACCTTGTTTTAACTTGATTCTGTATACATCTTTAAACTTCGTATTTGTGAATGTATAATGTCATGACATCACTAAATAAATAAAATATAACATTTTTGCTTTGGTGAGATATTGTTGGTTTTTACCTAAAAATGGGGATGCTGTCTTCACCCTTTGTTTTACGTTTTTGAATTTCAGAGGTCAGTAGCTCACTTTTATTTTTTTGTAAAATAACACAAAGGCTCCAGTCCAATATGTGCTTACACCAGCATGGAATCCCACTGGAATCATTGGGGACATGAATGGGTGCAGTGGATCAGGTTGCAGAATCAGGCCAATAGTGTGGGGACAAGGTGGTAGTCAGTTTTTGTGGCTTCTGTATGATCTATAAGAGGAACAGAAGTGTGTCTTGTTGACCATTTTTGTTTTTAATCTTAGAAATCTTAGGAAAGTCAAGTCCGATCTTGCCTGGTTTTGCTGGAGGACTTTCATGGAGGTTTCAGAAAAGTAGGTTTGGTGCTTTCTCAGCCTGGCACTTACAGTGAGTTACAAAAAGTCCCTAAGAAGTGCAAACTATAACCCCTTTCTCATTATTTCTTATGTTTCTAGGGCCTTGATTGTTTTGTCTGAAATCAAAGATGGAAATATACACCTGAGGAAAAAAACACTTTAAATCTGCTTTGTCTGTATTCATATGGATGAATCCAGGATGTTCCAAGAAAACACATTTGATAATTACTTGAATTCAGCAGCCCCAATTTGTGAAGATGGTGCTTTCCAAAAGAAAGGGCACAGTGCAAGGACCCTTAGCCCTGAAGAAGCTGAGAAACTGTCAAGAGATCAAGCCTTGGTGTCTGACTTCAAAAAACTGAAACTGGAGAAAGATGCACAGAAGAACTGGGATCTATTTTACAAAAGAAACAGCACAAACTTCTTTAAAGACAGGCATTGGACAACTAGAGAGTTTGAAGATCTAAAAGCATGCCGGGAGGTGAGCCATATACACTAATTCTACAAGTAAAGGGGCAAATATTGCTAATTATTTTCAAATGATTTAATAGTCCACCAAATAAGATGTCAGTGACAGATCACTGTTATACATCAAATGTGCAGTGTTGTGTAGTTGATAGCTTCCATGACTTCTAGATTAAAAAAAAAAAACTGAAATTTTTTTTGATTGTACTTTTCATCCTGTTCTTTCCTCAATATCTCCATGAGTAGGCTCCATCAGGACCCATCTGAAAGTTTCAAATGTTGGAATCTCTTATGAAATCTTTGAATAATAGTTTATAATTGATGTATATTTTACATTCAGACCCACTCTCTAGAACAGTGGTGCCCAAACTTTTCCTGTCGTGACCCCCCCTTACCAGTAATGGAATTTGTCCATCTCCTGCCTCTCCCCCCCCCCTTACTGCACAATTGGCTCAGCAGAGGAGCTTGGGCTGGGGGCAGAACTGGGGCTAGAGGCAGAACTGGCCTGGGGTTGGAGAGGGAATCAAACAGAGCTGGGCCAGGAATGGGAGCGGAGCCTGGGCCAGGGGCGTGGCTGGGTCCAGAGTGGGGCCATGGCTGCAGGCAGAGCCTGGAGCGGGGCTGGAGTCGGGTCGGAGAGGAGCTGGCGGCTGAGCGCGGCTGCGTGGCGCTCCCTCCCCAATCCCCATGGGGGCTGGCCTGGGCTTTGCCGCATGTTTCTCTGCACCCCGTATGGGGGCATGCCCCACAGTTTGGGGACCACTGCTCTAGAATATTTGCTCTGTGTTCTAAATTAGATCTAAGTTCCTCTCTCTCTTCCAATTTGCAGACACAAGTTGCAAAACTTTTGAGCACCCTGTTATAAAGTCACCTATCTAGATAGTCAATACATTAAAATATACATTTTAGAAACACATTCAAATGTATTTGTTGTTCACCCTATTTAATAAAAGGGCCTAGGCAAGGAGGATAGTATAATCTGATTGTTGCTGAAATGAGTAGATCACTAATGAGATTTTAGTAATTTCTAAAGAGAAACTTAATGTAATATAAAGTAAAGCCTACACTTCACAATGTCAAATTGCCAGTGGAAGGATACTTGAGATTTTAAACTGATCATAACTGAAACTCTGATCCTAACTTTAAAATGTGAAAAGCAGTATCTTTGTACTATGAGGATCAACACAAGTGATGTGCTGTATGCTTGGCCTCTTTCTCCCATATAGTTTGAAGATCAGAAACTGACCATTCTTGAAGCAGGCTGTGGGGTTGGAAATTGCTTGTTTCCACTTTTAGAAGAGGACTTGAATATCTTTGCTTATGCCTGTGATTTCTCTCCAAGAGCTGTTGAGTATGTAAAGGTTGGTGTGGTATTTGTCTGTATTTTTAGTGTGCTTCTTTAGAAATTTGTGTTCATCAGATTCCAGATTATCTAGCTTTGTTTTCTTGTATAAGTATGGTAAATTGTCCTGTATGGAAGAGGAGAGAAACTGATATACCGTACTGTAGCTTAATTTACAAGAAATTGAATCATCACCGAGGACCTGATTTTCTAGTATTAAATCATATTACTGTAGTAGTAATTGTGAATGTTGTACTTGGATATTTCCTAAATGTTAAGTTTGGCCAATGAGAATAATAGACTGATTCAGCAATTAAGTCATTTTCCCCCCTCCAACATATCCATGTCCTGGTAAACTACACCGTACAACCAAAATTTGATTTGGGACATAAACTCAGCTGTGACATCTTTTGCGAGGAGGGACAACCAGAGTGATATTGAAATCAAAAACTTAGAGGCTCTTTTCAAGAAAATTTGGAGACCTATTATAAACAGATAGCATGTTTATACTCAATTCATTTTTATACAATACAGTACACCCTCTCTAGAATGCCCAACAAACCTTTGGCTATAGTGATCCTACCTCCAGCCCCGGGGCCACTGGTGTAATTATATTGTGTTATTTTGACAAAATATGCAGAATTTTGCAGAATTTTAAAATGTGGGCAGAATTTTTAATTTTTTGGCAGAGTTCCCCCAGGAATAGTGACACAGCACAGCTGCACCGGTGCAGCTGCTCCACTGTAGTGCTTAGTGAAGACGCTACCTATGGCAACAGGAGAGCTTCTCCCATCAGCGTAGGTACTCCACCTCCCTGAGAACTGGTAGATATGTTGATGGGAGAAGCCTTCCTGTCAACATAGCACTGTCTACACCCGGGGGGTAGGTTGGTATAACTCCATCACTCAGCTGTGTGGATGTTTCACATCCCTGAGTGACAAAGTTATACCAACATAATTTCCTAGTGTAAACAGAAAGCTTGGAGCAAATGCTCTTTTGTAGTTCTGTTTCCTTTCGTTGCTCTCCCAGTTAAAATAAATAATCACAAAATACAAATTTATCTTTTATAATTTTATAATGAATGCTTTCAACTAAAGCAACATCTTTTCACTCCATAGAAGAACACTTTATATAATATTGAGAGATGTAAAGTATTCCAATGTGATCTGACCAAAGATGACCTTCTGGAAAATATTCCAGCGGATTCTGTGGATGTTGCCACATTAATATTTGTGCTTTCTGCCATTCACCCTGACAAGATGCACCTTGCCTTGCAAAATATTTATAAGGTAAATGTGTAAGTATGACTTAACAGTTTTGGGGGGTTTTTTTAAAGTCTTTTTTGACTCAAGAATACTATTCCACTCTGAAAAGAAACTATGTGAAATTGGCACCTCCTTAGTTAGTACTTTATTCCCTGGATGAATTCAGTCACATTTGCTTTTGCTTGGGGACTAAAATAAGTTTTGACTACATTTTTCTTCTGTTGGTTCTGAGTGAGTGACTTGGATTCTCCTCTGGCTTGTGCATCATCAACATAACTAAATTCATATTACAAAAATTGCTGTAGGACTGGCTGTTAGAAGAAAAATCTTTTTTGCAAGTAACCTAGGCAGACTTGCTGTATGGTCCTTGAGACGCAGCACATGGAACCACATGATGCCATTTTTACAGCATGACTTTTTGCCGTTTTAAGGAATACCATTAAGAAAATACAATTATGGCTTGTTTTTATAAAAAGGAAATCAGCTGATTAATTGGCTGAAAGTCAGATCAGAAATGAATGTTGCTTTCTCTAGGTTCACCAGGATTATTTTCTCATGGTTTTTGGTTACCATTTTTATCTATACCTATCTAATAAATAATAATATAATATATTCATACCAAGCATCTTAACACACTAAAATAAAAAAAACCTGTCACAACAGTGCATTTTGAAGGGAACTAAGTACCATTATTTTTCCATTATCTGAATTTAAAGGTTCTATGGTAGTGTGTTAATGTTGATAATGATTAAGGTCCTGATCCTGATAACACTAACATATGTGCTTAACTTTATACACAGTGAGTAGTCCCATTGAAATCAGTGGGACTACACACAGTATACAGAGTTAAGCATGTACAGAGGTCTGTGTGGGACTGGGGTCTTAGGCTTCAAACAAGAAGTAGAGGAGCATTAGCGTCAACTCCTGTGAAGTGCTGAGATTTTTCAACTCTGATTGAGGGTACTCAGCATCCTGTAGGAGCAGGCCCTAATATGAAGAGCTGAAAAATGCACAACTATTTTGAGATAACAGTTGTCCAAAAATATTGGCTACTGATCGGGAAGAAAGGTTCAAACTTTGATTTCTCATTCTGTTTGCAACATACATTTTTTTTATTTGCAGTTCATATTTGGATTTTTATATTACAGGATATCTGCTGTATCACATCAGCTATAGTCTGAGTAATAAAGGTTAAGTTTTGATATACTTCAGAGTTTTTCTAAAATAGAGATTTATTTCTTAACTCAAATGGGACAGAGGCTAATTACTGTTTTCTTTGTGAAGATGGGTTAGCTCATTTAATCCATTTGTTCACTTCTGCAGAAATTTACAAGTTCTCTCTCCTTTAAATAATTTTGTTATGTCCATTTTACTGATATAGCTGTATTTTATCTGATAGGTATTAAAACCAGGCAAATGTGTCTTATTTAGAGACTACGGGCTCTATGATCATGCAATGCTTCGGTTTAAATCTGGCAGCAAACTTGGAGAAAACTTTTATGTTAGACAAGATGGGACAAGATCATATTTCTTTACTGATGGTAAGATTTAATAGAAACTTTTTTCTCTGCAAGTTTTTTGTTTAAACTTGCTTCAGTGAATTATTGCTATGCCTTTAAGGGTTGCTTGATACATATATGAACTATGAAACCTCGGTGTAATTTGTTTTCTAGCTGTACATGGTTATTTTATAAAAGTGGCAGGACTGAAGGAGCAATTTGATCTGTTGACAGAACTACCTATATGTACCATCATGATAGGCCATGGCAGCATAGGTTTAGAACTTGTTAGCTGCAGTGGCTTCATTCAGATCAATACTCTGAAAGAAAGAGAAAAATGCTTAGGGAAAGATTTAGTCTCATACGTCACTAAGCAACTAAGGGGTGAAATTATCCCATAATAATCTTTTTGCAATGTTCTTACATATTGAAGCCTGATTCAAAACCCATTGAAGTCAGTGGGCTTTGAAACAAAGGTTTGACTGGAATGAAGGAAAGCTTCTACAAAACTTTCACTGAGGTAACACTGTGCTAATAATTTGACTAGTTGTGACTGCTGTCTCTTCTGGTAGATTATTTCCAAGTTCAGCCAGCTCTACATTTTAGTAAAGTTAACTTTTTAAGGCATTTCATTATCATCATCTTAGGACATTAACAATACTTACAGTAGCACCTCAGAGTTACGAACACCTTGGCAGTGGAGGTCGTTCATAACTCTGAACAGAACGTTATGGTTCATTCAAAAGTTTACAACTGAACATTGACTTAATACAGCTTTGAAACTTTATTAAGCAGAAGAAAAATACTGCTTCCCCCACCTTTTTTTTATTGATTTATGTTCAACACAGTACTGCACTGTATTTGCTTTTTTTCTGTTTTTGTTCTCTGCTGCTGCCTAATTGTATACTTCCGGCTCCAAATGAGGTGTGTGGTTGACTGGTCAGCTCGTAATTCTGGTGTTCGTACCTCTGAGGTTCTACTGTATATAGTCTTTCATTGAAGGATCTCAAAATGCTTTAAAAAAGAAGATAATTGTCCCAACTTTATGGATAGGAAAACTGAAGCACAGAGAAATTAAACAATTTGCCCAAAGTCTTGTACAAAACTGGGATTGTAACTCTGGTCTCTTGACTCCCAGTTTTGCTCACTGAACACTAGAGAACAAATACTTCCCTATATTAATTATGGGGCTTTGTGAAAGAAAGAAGTCTTTTTTCTTCTTTAAAGGAAAATCAAGTATTGAAAGTCTCTTGGAGACCAATTTGGAGCCAAGTAAATAATGTTGATATTTTATGACATAGTCAATTACCTAGTTGCTGCTCATATTTAAAAATAAAACGAATTCCATTGATCATTTTTGAGATGTTTCTATTCTTTAAAGGATATTGATTAAATTTAAGATAAATAATGCAAACAGCTATGCAACTTCACCCAAGCATTCCTAGGGTCATTTTTGTTCATCAAATAGCTTGTTTAGTTCCACTTATACTGGTAATTGTAGTAAACTGAGCTCTGCTGTTGGAGGGAGGGACTGGCGGAGCCAACCTAGAAATGGAAATTTGAATCCAGTGCCTTGTTAGGCAGTGGAGTGTTTGGATGGGAAATTCTTAGTCAGGTTTTTTTCCTTGAATTTTGAAGAATATGCTATTACCTGCTGTCTCATTTTATTGTGGTGATATGAAAACAACCTGTATATTGTGCTACAGTAGCAAATAACTCTAAAATATCATTCACCAGTGTCCGTTCTTTCTAAAATGGCCTGTTGAGTTTAATTGTGATCTAACAAGTTTGTTTTTCCAGGAGGAAACATATTGTCTAGTGCAGCAAACTGTGCTTTGTGACCACTTGGTGGTGGTTCATGGAGGAGCTTGCCAGTCAGGAGGTGCTAGCTCTCCTCCTTAGCTCTCAGCTGAGAAACATAACACAGATAAAAAGAGAGAGGTGAAAGGAGGAGCAAATACAGACAGTGATTGTTCCTTTTTAAAAAGGGATATATGCCTGGCTCAAACAGGACTATCAGTCTCTCTCACCTTCTCAGAGAACTAATTTTTTTACTCCCCCGCAAATTATTTTTAATTAGTAGAGGAGTGAGTGTATAGATCTTGCTCAGAGCCTGATTTCATTACAGTGAAGTTGTCCTATGGTGGCAGTATCTATTATTTATATTTCAGTAGCCTGTATTTCTCGCACTGTACAAAGAATGAGTAACAATTTTTGCTATTGAGAGTTTACAATCTAATTAGGTAGAACAGATAAAGAAAAATGTGAGGGTAAACAGATAGGCAATGACTCGCCCAAGATCAAACAGCAGGTCAGCAGCAGAGCCAGGTCTTCTGACTTCCAGTCCAATGTCCTGTCTGCGAAGCCTCACTCGTTCCTCTAGGGAAAGAAATACTTCACTAAGGTTTCTTCTGTGTGTATACAGAAAGTACGTTTGAACTGTGGAGGTGTAGTATCAACATTTCCAATTTGCCACCTTGCTTTTTTTCTGTTTAACTACAATATGGGAACTTGGCCTATTTTCCCCTCCGTAGAGAGCAAGCCTGAGGCTAATCCACCACTGAAATCTTCAAAGTGGGGTTGAAGCGGGACTGAAGATGGTGCATTGGCTTTGTGGTGGCCCACTACACAATGTGAAAATAATTTCAGAGTCATTCACAAGAGGAAATGGAAAACTTTCAATTTAAAATGATAAATGTACACAATTTGGGAAACAGGATTGTGTTACCAATTTAAAGCCCAGTCCTGCAAGCTGCTCTGCATGAAAGTAGAGCCTCATTGACTTCAGTGAAGCTCAGTGCAAGTGTCGGTGGCTGTCTGCACAGAGCAGCTTGCAAGTTTGAAGCCTTCA